AGGATCATATTCACCTTCTTCGTTATCTCACTGCGATGTTGTCTTCATTGTTGGCATGGTTCTCATCAGTCGGAGTTTTAACTTGAAGTGGCACATCAACTAACAAATTAGGACTCCATAATTGGACTTCAAGGTTAATACCTTGAGCTTCATTGTGAACATTCTTATTTAGTTGGTCGCTTCCTAGATAAAATGAGACAGGAATTGTCGAGCACATATGGAGATCGATTTGGTTTCCAATTTGCTGGCAGAATCTCTTTCAAGCTTAGTTAGTTTGTCTTGTGAATAAATTTCAGCATCATCTTTAGAATTGACAGTTTGATATTAATATTAGTTGAACTACAAGTATTGCTATAGAAGAAGCAATATTGGCTGCACTGCTAGCTTTATCCATATCCTCAGAATAACATACCTCCCTATCTTTGTCAAACTCTTCCACATATATACTTTAAGGAATTGGAAGTTGTAACAGACTTAAATGCTGGAAAATTTAATTAATAGTATATAGTACTAATTTGGAAAAACATAAATGAATTATTATTTTTATTCTAGTATTAGTTATGAACATATGTTGATTAATATATTTTCGAAAGATCGATATTCAATATCATTTATAAAGTCTCTTATTTGTCTAATATAAAATTTTAATTTTAGACAATTAATTTTTTTCTTAAAGGTTAATATAACCTTATGATTGCAGTTGTGCAACCAAATAATACATTTGTAATTACAATGTGACAAACAAACAAGTCAACATAATTATTAGGCTGGTAATTACTGTTGAATTTAAGAACAGATCATCAATTTGGACTATGAACTAGAACAGAGCACAAAGCTTCATCTGCTATTGAGAGAATTTTCCATATTGTATTGTATAGAATGAATGATTACAAAAACAGTATACTAACTACAATGCTTATATAGTGATATAACCGACTTTACTAACTATAGTTAACTTAACTCATTTGTTAACTAAGCTTCTAACAAACTAACTAATACAAACTAACTGTAAATGTGAAAATATCTTTCAACTAACTTCTAGTCCAGTCAGCATTTAACACGTTAACTTGCATCAATCTTCATATGGTCAATACCCCCTCAAGCTAGGTGGTATGAAGATGTTCTTCAAGCCTAGTTTGGAAAGTAAATAGGAGTGTTGAGATCTACCAAGCCCCTTAGTCAATATATCGGCAGGCTGTTCTGCAGTAGATAAGTACTTGGTGTGAATCAAGCCATGTTGAATTTTTTCTCGAATGAAATGATAGTCGATATCTATATGTTTGGTCCACTCGTGGAAAACAGGATTTGCAGCAATCTGGAGAGCAGCTTTACTGTCACAATACAGAGAAACTGGCAGGTGCAATTCAACATTAAGTTCCTTGAACAAACCAATTAACCAAACAATTTCAGCAATGGTTGAAGCTAAACTTCTGTACTCAGCCTCTGCTGAGCTACGAGATATAGTCGACTGTTTCTTTGACTTCCAAGAGATCAATGAATCGCCAAACTTAATCATGTAGCCAGTAATGGATTGCCTAGTATTAACACATGACCCCCAATCAGCATCACAAAAACCATGAAGTGATTGAGAACTAGATGAGGACATTAAAACTCCAAGACCAGGAGCCTGCTTGACGTACTTAACCACCCTAAAAACAGCTTCTAAGTGGGATCGTTTAGGAGCATGCATGAATTGACTTAAGCTTTGGACAGCAAAAGCAATATCAGGCCTAGTAATGGTCAAATTTAACAGCCTACCAACAAGTCGCTGATACTCTCCTGGATCCTTTAGGACAGGATCCTGAGAACCCCCAATATGGCTGTCAAACTCACAAGTAGTCAGCTTCTGATTCATCTCAACAGGTGTAGCAATAGTCTTGGAACCACTTAGACCGGAATCTGAAATGAGCTCTAGGGCATACTTCCTTTGAGTCATAAGAATCCCAGTGTCTTGTCTAGCAAATTCTATACCAAGAAAGTATCTAAGGTCCCCTAGATCCTTAATTTTGAAATTATCCTTCAACACTTGTTTGGCAGCCTCTATCAGAACTTTGCTGCTACCTGTAATCAAGAGATCATCTACATAGATTAAAACAATTACAATCCCATCTGATGATCTTTTAGTAAACAACGAATAGTCTAGATGACTTTGTTGAAAACCAGCTGTGACAAGAGCTGAGGTGAGTTTTACATTCCACTGCCTTGATGCCTGTTTCAGACCATAAAGAGACTTGAGCAATCTGCAAACTTTGGAATCCTGTGTCCCATCTGTGTTGAACCCTTGTGGCAACTGCATGTACACTTCCTCATGTAGATCTCCTTGCAAAAAAGCATTGTATACATCCATTTGTTGAATAGACGAACCTTTAGCAGCAGCCAAAGAAATAACAGTTCTCACAGTTACCATCTTTACAACAGGTGAGAAAGTTTCTTGATAATCAAGACCCTCTCTTTGGTTGTATCCTTTTGCCACCAGCCTAGCTTTGAACCTCTCAACTTGTCCATCAGCCTTGTATTTGATCTTATACACCCACTTACAACCAATGGCTTTCTTACCAATTGGTAAATGAACAACCTCCCAAGCCCGATTGTCTTCCAAAGCTTGAATCTCATCATTCATTGCTTGTATCCACCTGTCATCCTGTATTGCTTGATGATAAGAAGTTGGCTCTATGGTTGCTGAGAACTGAGCTACATAACTTTGATAGGAACTAGAAAGTCCACCATAGTTAACATTGAGTGCAATAGGATATAGACAAGAGTGAGCAGCCTTGCCTTAGCATTGATAAGAAAATCTTTTTGCCAGATAGGAGGCCTGCTATGTCTGCCTGAGGTCCTTCTAGGAGGGATTGAAATCTCCCCAGTTGTATGCTCACCAGTGGGAACTTGAAAAACTTCCACAGGGTTAGTTGAAGCAATAGGAACAGCTTGTGTGTGAGGCATCACAGGATCAATAGGAATTGCAATCTCAGGAACTACTGGTGCTGCACGAACATCTGAAGCTGAGCCTGATTCTGAAGCTTCTGAAGCTGAATGAACATCTTCTAGGCAAGGTTCAGTACTAGGGACCAAAAAATCCTCTCCAACTGTGGGTTCAACAACAGTGCCTAGATTTTGGTCACATGATTGAAAAGGAAAGATGTGTTCTAGAAAATGGACATCTCTGCTCACAAAAAAACATATAGTTCTCAAGTCATAAAGCTTGTATCCTTTCTGTGTTGCATTGTATCCCAACATGACTGACTTAATTGCTCTGGCTCCAAACTTATCCCCCTTGATCAAGTTTGTTGCATAACATAGGCAACCTATAGTTCTCATGTGGGAAAGGTCAGCTTGCTTACCATACAACATAAAATAGGGAGAGTTGTTGCCTAGACTGGTAGATGGAACTCTGTTGATTATAAACACAGCAGCCAAAATGCATTCACCCCAAAATCTAATAGGCAATGATCCTTGAAATCTGATTGCTCTAGCAGTCTCAAGTATGTGCCTGTGCCTCCTCTCCATCACCCCATTCTGTTGGGGAGTGTAAGGACAAGAACTTTGATGTTCAATACCATAATCGTCAAACAATTTTCTACATTGGGAATTAAAAAACTCCCCTCCATTATCAGATCTCAATACTTTTACTTTCTTCCCAAATTGTGTGTCAATCATAAGCAAGAAGTTTCTAAGAACAGTGCACACATCAGATTTAAGATGCATAAGAAAAACCCAAGTCCATCTAGAATGATCATCTACTAAGGTAAGAAAAAACTTCATGTTGTTATGTGTAACAGATTTATATGGTCCCCATACATCTATGTGTAGCAAATCAAAACATTGAGATGCTCTACTATTACTGGAATGAAAAGGAGTTCTAGTTTGCCTTGCAATTGGGCATACATCACAATTATTCAACACAAGAGCATGACTATCCTTGACTACATCAAGTTTTCTAAGTACTACCATGGGTACATGTCCCATTCTTTTATGCCATAAAATGCCTTCTTCATTGCATCCTGTAACAGCCAAAGATTTAATCCTGGTGTCTTCATTTTCTACCCTGGATCCCAGTGTATACAAACCGTCTTGCTCAGTACCAATCTCCTTCACCTTCCCAGTGAAGAGATCCTGTAAAATGAAGAAATCAGGAAAGAAAATGGCACAACAATTCAACTTCCTTGTCAGTTTGGACACAGACAAGAGATTAAATTGAAATGTTGGCACACATAGCACATTGTGAACTACATCACCTCCATTTAGCTGACAGTTGCCAGACTGAGTAATCACAGCTGAATCACCATTAGGAAGTTGTACTCTACCTGAGCTAGCTCAAAGGGAGGAGGATTGCCCAAGCTTTATAAGGAGTCCACCCATCTCATTAACCATCGATGTGGGACTTTTGTCATTCTTTAACACCCCACCTCACGCCCAGTGCTTAGCATCTGGTGCGTGGGCAATTTTGATTTTGGGGGTCCCAACATCGGGTGAGACTGGCCCTGCTCTGATACCATGTTGAATTTAAGAACAGATCATCAATTTGGACTATGAACTAGAACAGAGCACAAAGCTTCATCTGCTATTGAGAGAATTTTCCAGATTGTATTGTATAGAATGAATGATTACAAAAACAATATACTAACTACAATGCTTATATAGTGATATAACCGACTTTACTAACTATAGTTAACTTAACTCATTTGTTAACTAAGCTTCTAACAAACTAACTAATACAAACTAACTAACTGTAAATGTGAAAACATCTTTCAACTAACTTCTAGTCCAGTCAGCATTTAACACGTTAACTTGCATCAATCTTCATATGGTCAATAATTACTACCCTAATAATTACACCAATTTTTAGATGCTCTAATCTTTCTACAAAAGAATTAGCTTATGTATATTGCATAATCAATTTTTATTAGAATTTTCGGAAATGCAACTAAAATATGTCTATTAATATGATCAAATTACAATAGGTTTTTTGTTGCAGACTTATTCACTATTAAATAATAGTAAGATACGTATACAAATTCAAACATCGTAACTTAATTAAAATGCAAGGATGGCCTAAATCTTTGATGTTAGTTGGATCTTTTCTACATTTTTACTAGTAAAATTGTGGATAAGATGTTGAAACTTTTCCATGGCTTGTTGAGGCAAATTTATAGCTATCACAATACTCTTTTCTCCTATGTTCTTGTTAAAGGACCAGAAAAAGCTAGCAAAAGAGAAAGGACTTCTATCAACCCCACCCAAAATAGGCTTTCCCCATCCAAAATCAACTTCATCAAGACCAAGTATTGCATCATTTGTGATGAGAAAATTCCAAGATTTAGTCCATGGTCGTCGCCTATTAATCACCATATAATCTGCCAATGATTTAATATACTCTTCGTTCACTTGATTCTTAGCTTGTTTAATCAACTCAATTGCATATGTTAATGGATTTGAACATAACCATCCAGCTTTTGATACGGCTGCTGGAGTTGCAAATGCATTGCCATAATATCCAAGTGGTAGTTCCATTTTTTGTGGTCCTACACGTACATTAACTACATATGACAAACGAACATTCTCTTCAGGATTTATATCAAGTGCAATTGTACGATATTTCCAAAGAAACGCAACTAGTAACTCGAATCTTCCAATTGAACCATACCCTGGTTCTAATAATTGATCTTTAATGGCTTCAATCTCCTTATTTCCAAAGAAAAATGAGTGTTGGATTAATTTGTCTTCCATACCTATCCATGCAAATTTGGACTCAACTTGCTCATCAAACTCATTATGTGTGCATGTAATGCATGGTGATGATCTAGCACTTAAGAGATCCCTTTGCCATACAGGTAGTATGGAAGGTGCAGAAGCTCCTTGAATTAATTCACTTAATGCATTTAGAAACATTTTGAAGCCATAAGCATCCATCATAGTGTGATTAACTTTGAATCCAACAACAAATCCACCACATGTAAAATGTGTCACCTGTGTATATATAAAATGAATAGTGATTTAGTTTTAAAATGAAATCCAATGATTATGACGAGAAACTGATATAAAAAAAGCAAATATAAGTATCTCAAATGCCATTGTTGTAAAACTGCTTAAGCTGATAATTGGTCTTAAGTGTGACACGTTCAATAATTCAAACTTTTAGATGAGATAGTCACATAGTTTAACATGATATCAGAGCAGACATAAATACTCTCTGAGAATCTCACCACCATAGACATTATCAAAATAGAATTTTCACAAACTCGGCCCATGAAAATGAATCATGGAAGATATTCAGTTGATAATGGATCCACCTTCTTTACCCTTTCTCTACTTAAATATCATGTTTTATTCTATGTTACGATTCAAATTAGTGACGTGTGCCTAACCAACACATTACACACTACACTCTTATCACTAGACCAAAGCTTGGAGTTGATAAATGTGTATTTATAATGAGGAAATAGATATAATATCAAGCAAACCAAAGTAAAAGAGGTATACATATTGTCAATACAATATTGACTGATTACCTGAACTAACATCAATGGACAACCAATAATCCCAACAGATCCTGGCTCATTATAAAGTAACTCTTCTAAGTATGGACATGGTGGTAGTATAGAGTCACCTAATTTCTCAAGCTCCACATTAGCATCGGCTTCAATAAACATGATTCCTTCACTATTACAATTTACCATAAGCTTCCTATTAGGTCCTTCAATGATCCTACCAGCTAATGGATAGTAAAAACACAAGTGTTTTGGACAATCCGTCTTTTATGATCTTTGCATGATCTTTCCCTTTCATTGAAGAATTGTATTTGTAAAACATTAGTATTGGCATTTGAAAACGAAGACCTTCTTGATCATCTATATCTGAAAGATATAATATTTTCTTAGGTATTTTATTTTGTGGAACTATCAATTCAGGCTTCCGTCTACTACTTGAGATCACTAAAGGTTTGGGAATAATTGCCATGATATAGATACCAATTTGAGCAAGTGTAGTTTTTGAGTTAGAATTTTGGATGAGTAATGCAAAAGGAATTATTGGGTAAAAACCATCTTACATATAGCATTATATTTTTCTTTCTTGAGGATCACTTTACGAAACACAATTTGTTTAAATAATATACAAGTCCATAGTACTTGATAATTGTGCAATTTAATTTATGTGTCAAAAGTCAAAACGTACGGCAGCTTTTACCTAAAAATCTCTAAAGTCAATTTGATCTTGCAAATATTAAACAAGGAAATAGGACAAGCAAATATAAGATTCAATACAGGAAAAGACTCAAATATACCATCGAACTTTCAGAAAGGTTCATTTATGTCATCCGTTAAAAGTTTGGCTCATCTATGCTATTGATGTTAAGAAAAGGTTCGTCCATGCCATTTTTTTTAACTCCGATTTTGCAAAACCACTTTTTACACACTCAACAAGGTTTAACATTTTTCAATTGATGTTTTTGAATAAAATGTACTCTTTTTGCTTGTTCTTCCTTGAGAACATCAAAAACACATGAAGAACATAAATAACTCTCAAATTTTTAACAGATTCAATTATTCACAGAATCATCTCAAATTCTGGCTACATCATTAATTTCTTTTTTGTAAAAAAAAAACCAAAATTCTAAAATCATTTGTAGAGTTAAAAAAATTCACATGTATTAAAAAAAATATTCCAAAAAAAATAAATATCAGTCCCAAAAATTCAAATTTTGCTTTAATTCATGTTTTTGTAGTTGTTTTTGACATTAGATCTTTGTTCCCTACTGTTTTTTGAGTGTATGTTCAAAATTTCAAATGATTTCAAGTTGTGGAGAAAATTCTACCATTAACATGTTGAAGTTTTGAAACTTTGAAGAAATTTCAAGTGGGTCTTGTTGAGTTAGGTTGAATTTTCTCTCAAAAGATATTGAGTTTAATTGGTATCTATCTCGAAGGGAAACTACTCCTGAAATTTGAGGTAATTCCGTGAAGAATTAAAGAAATTTGAAAATTTGGGAGTTGTTTATGTTCGTCATGTGTTCTTAAGGAACAACAAGTAAAAAGAGTACATTTGATTAAAAAACTTCAATTAAAAAGTGTTAAACCTTGTTTGGGTATAAAAAGTGGTTTCGCAAAACCAGAGTTAAAAAAATGGCATGGATGAGCCTTTTCTTTAATAACATGCAATGACATAAATAAGCCAAACTTTTAATGAATAACATAAATGAGTCTTTCTGAAAAGTCGATGACATATTTGAGCCTTTTTCCCTTCAATATATGATGAAACAAGCTAATGTGAAGAGTCTCACACGGCTATGAAGAGGCCAACAAGATTGAGGATCACTGGCAAAGATGGCAAACACTAGCCAAATTAAACTTCCTTTGTGTTCGACTCCTTCTAGCAGCTACCTAATGGGGCTAAGGGTCCTTCTTATTTGGACAAAAGCTAAATGGCTTCCACTAGATTCAAATATGACAAGACCACTTTTTTCATTAGCTAATTTACTTGTTTCTATTTGTGAGGGGGTTAGTTTGTAGATAGTAATTTTCTAGCCCTTCTTTTTCGAAGGATAAAAGTTTTATTCTTGTGTTGTATACTGAAGTAAGATCGAGCCTATCTCTTATACTTATTCTCATGATATGCAATATCATAAAAGTTAATATTAAAAAAAAAAGGAGTGCGGATCTAGTCTAGATATAGTCGCAACTTGTATGATGGTTGTAATAGCTTGATTTAGCATGTGCAATATTGATTCTAATTTCTCTTAGGTTAGCTAGAACCCACCTGTCTATCTTAGGGTTGACATTATACAACAACTATATATAGGTACCATGCACTCTATATACCATTATGCTACTTATTAAGTAATTACAAATAAATTTCTTGATAAATAATATTTGATATAAAAAAAGTAACTAACTTGTGAGATGGTGTTGGAAAATCAATATACTATCAATTAGGCTATGTCAATTTTGTGTTTATCTCACAACACATACATCCACCATTGATGTGGATCACTAAGTAACTTACAGAGGAAATAGAGAAGGAAAGGAGAGAAATTGTTTTATTGGATCTGAAAATCACAATTGCAATTACATGTGCTTTTCTACTTATAGAATTAGTTGTTAGCTATTAGTTGGATCCACGTGGCAATGACTATAATTAACCAACTAATCTGTAACTAACTAACTAATTGATTCTCCTAGAAACAATTAATTCAATACACCCCCTCAAGCTGTAGGGTGAAAGACATCTAGAACTCCAAGCTTGGATAGAAGAAAATGATGTTGTGCAACTCTTTAGTCAACAAGTCAGCCAGTAGCAAAGTGGTAGATAAATGTGCAGGTTTAATCAGCCCTACCTGAAGTCTCTCCTCACAAAATGGCAGTCAATTTTAATGTGCTTCGTGCATTCATGGAATGTGGGATTTGAAGCTATTTGTATCGCAGTTTTGTTGTCACAGAATAGGTCTATAGGTGTAGGAGCTTTAACATCAATATACTGTAGCAGACTGACTAGCCAAATGACTTTAGACACAACTGCAGCCATGCTCCTATACTCAGATTCAGCTGAGCTGCGACTAACAGTGTGTTGCTTTTTTTATTTCCTAGAGATTAAAGAACCTCCTAGCTGAATCACAAACCCTGTCACTGATCTCCTAGTGTTAGGGCATGCTGCCCAATCTAAATCATGATAGGTACTCGACTGAAGGGCAAAACCTTTCTTCATAAAAACTCCCAATCCTGGAGAATGTTTGAGATACCTAACCACTCTAAGGGTTGCATCCCAATGAGACCTCTTGGGTTGGTTAATGAATTGACAAAGCAACTCCTAACTAGCTTTTGGTAAGAAGAAACATCTTCCAGTAAGTGATCATTAATTACTTTTCCTGCATGATTATCATAGGCAACACTAGTCAGCTTAATATTGGCTTCTAATGGTATGTAAGCTGACTTTGCTCCACTTAAACCAACGTCAGAGATAACCTTCAACGCATATTTCCTCTGGTTTAGTAGAGCTTCATGCTTGGACCTTATTACCCCTAGTCCTACAAATAGGTGAGTTTCCCTAAGTCTTTAACTTTAAACTTGCTATGAAGATACTTCTTAGTTGACTGAATAAGATCTTGGTTGTTTCCAATGATAAGAAGATCATCAACATATATGAGGATGATCCCAATGTTTGATCCTTGTTGCTTGGTGAATAGTGAATGGTCATAGGAACTCTGCTTATACTCATCATCTAAGAGAGTTGTTGTGAGTTTGATATTCAATTGTCTTGAAGCATGTTTAAGGCCATATAATGACTTCAAAAGCTTGCATACTCTAGTCTCACCTTGTCTATGGAAACCCTGAGGAAGGTCCGTATACACAACCTCATCAAAGCCACCTTGAAGGAAAGCATTACTTACATCCATGTGAAAAAAATCCCATTCCTTAGAAGCAGTAACACTGATTATAGTCCGAACGGAGACCATCTTGGCAACTGGAGACAAGGTCTCATGGTAGTCTATGCCTCCTCTTTGAGTATAACCTTTATCCACCAATCTAGCTTTATATTTATCAACTTCACCATTAGCTTTATGCTTGATTTTATACAACCATTTAGCACCTATAGTTTTCTGATCAACAGGCAAGGTAGTCAACTCCCAAGTGTGGTTAGCCTCTAAAGCATCTATCTCCTGTTGCATTGCATGGGCCCATTTTGGATCTTGAGAAACCATTTTGAAAGAGGTAAGTTCAGTGACAATGGAGAAATTTACTCAGTAAACTTGATAAACATTTGACATATGGCTATAAGGGACATATTGGGAGATAGTATATGAGCAGTAGCCTTTGGGCGTGATGGTAGAAACATAGTCACTGATCCATATAGGAGGCTTGGTAGTTCTGACTGGTCTAGTGGGAGAGGAGCTATAGAAATTGAATCAACAACTGTAGGGTCAGGTAAGAGAATTGTCACAACTCGAGTCTACACCCTAGATGTGGCCGACACTCGAGAATCATTGTTGGTCTCCAAGCGAACTCTCATCCTGGCTGACTACAAGCGGAAGGCTAACTCAAGCATACATCAACATCAAATTGAAAGAAACATTTGAAAAATAGTTTACTGAATCTCAAAACTTTGCTGAATATACTGAGTATGAAACATAAGTACAAATAAAACATCTAAAAACTGAAAGGCTCTCCAAAACTGTCTATCTATGAAGCATCTACTATACAAATATGAGTGTCGGGAAAAGTCCCACGCCTCCTCAGGGGAACTACTTCTAACAACTCATAAAATTAGAGTCTTCCAAAAGCAAGGAGGTCTTATTCAAAAGTTGACGAGCAGATGAAGTGATCTCAACGAACTCTTGTTCAGGATCCTAAGAACCTGTATCTACATTATTAAAAGATACATGTCGAATGACATCAATACATTGAATGTACGAGTATGTAGTATAGCTCAATAACAAATAACTGATTGAAAGGACTGCAATAGATATAGATATATACTCAACTGAATGTAAAGAAATAAAGGAGTGAAACCATTAAAACTTTTTTAAAAATACTTACTCATCTCTGAACTCAACATATTAAGTGATATAATAAAAATACACTTTTAACTCTACTTGGGAGATTCTTTAACCGACAACCATCACTATGAGCTACATGATGATACAATGTCTCGCCCACATTGCCAGGACTTTCCTATACCTTGTCGGGGTATAGAACACCTCAACTAAGTGGATCCACTAAGATCTGCCCGAAGTCACTTAGAATTCATCTAAAAAGTATGATTATGTACCCATGTTGGCATACATGGGTTATGAGGAATGTGGGTTGTCTGAACTCATCCCCATATCGGTGCTCAATACTACTTCCAATAACATATACTCATTCTCAATCTTTAAAAACATACTCTTCCTCTGGTTTGAGATAATTGCTCAAACTATCCTCTTAAAAGATGTATCTTCTCTTGAAATATCTTTGAACTCATAACTC